CCCAGGTTGAGAACCGCTGCTCTAGAAGGTAAGTAGTTAATACTTAGGATAATATAAGTAAATAGTTCATCACATAAATGAAATGCAACTATTTGACTTCCTGTAGACCACTCTCTCGAGCTTTAATAGTTGGGTTATCTATCTATCTATCTATCTATCTCTCTATCTATCTATCTATCTGGCTATCTAGCTATCTCGTCTATCATTATAGCCCTTGCCCTTTAACCCTGTGTCCTGAGGGCACATTAACCAGAACTTCTCCCAAAAAGGTACAAATCTTCAAACCTTCCTTCATTTCATAGGAAGAAGTGGGCTTTTTTCCATGATATTCATTGAACCTTTTATCGCAACATGAACCCTTGGGCTGAAGCCCACAGGATCAGCAAGATAGAAACCTAAAGGTCATACTACATCCCTTAGATCAGGGGTCTCCAAACTTTTCATTCAAAGGGCCAGTTTACTGTACCTCAGACTTTAGGGGGCCAGATTGTGGTCAGTAGAGGGTAGAAAATGTCCCGGGTAGCATCGGAAAGAATAAACATGGCTTCAGGGTTGGTGGTAAGTAAAAGGAAGAGTATTGTCCCATCATTGGTATCGATAGAAGGAATCGTGCTCTATCATTGGTATCAGTGGAAGAAATAGTGCACCATTGTTGGTGTCAGTGGAAGGAATAGTGCCTTGCATCATTCAGAGGAATAGTGCCCCAGGGGCTGGTTAAAGGCTGGCAAAGGGCCACATCCAGCACCCGGGCCACAGTCTCTGCCTTAGATCTTAGTTTAAAAGGCCATAGGGGTCGATGCACACATCTAACCATGATACCAAGCAAAGTAAATCTACATATACTAAATAAAGTAAAATGTGTTTAATTTTAATACATGACAAAATTGGAAAAAAAGTGAATTTCATTAACACAGAAATTCAGAAAAAAGGATATTAACTTAAAAAGTAAATTAACAACAGTAAAATCAGTCTGTATATGCAGTAAAGCATGCTTGCTATACTCACTGTGGAACCTAAGGGGTTAATCCTCCACATTGTGTAAAAAGGTTGTTTGATCTTGTCTTCTCTGATTTTCCCCTTCTCTTACTGTCCCCAACAGGGGCGGACTGACAACTCATGGGGTACCCGGGCAATAGGGGATCATGGGGCCCCTGTGTCCTTGCCCAAACTCAAAAAAGCCTATGAAAATGGTACCAGGGGCATCTCATGGGGCCCCCTTTTGACCCCGGGCCCTCAGGTTTCCAAATGGTCAGTCCAGCCCTGGTCCCCAACCTATCAGCCATAGTACAGAGCAGCAATGGCAAGTCTGTGCATGCTCTGGTGTGAATTGCTAGAGAGTGTTTTTTTTTTGGGGGGGGAGGGTGCTTGTGATTGGCACAGAGACAATTAGCACTGTCCGGACACAGGGTCAGGGGTCATACAGTCTTATAGTACAGTCAGAGGAGAATGAAAACTCCTCCTACAAGATTAACCAGTGCTCTGCCGGACACTGATAGAAGTCACAAGACTGCTATATATTGCTGATGAGAAAAGGTATTTAGCAGTTTATATTAGCTAAAATAATTGCATTTCCATGTTCTGTGTACTCTGGGAGACTGGATATAGTGAATGCAGGGTCATGGGTTTAGTAACACTTTAATGGTTTTATGTAGAAATATCAAGTTTATAACACTAGTCTGTTTTATACATTTCTTTGAGAATTATGACACAGCCCATATTATTCTAAAGATAACCGAAACAAGCCCACTTTATTCCTAAATTGTATCATTATACGATAAATGTTTGCAATTGATTGTCAACCAATGTTCCTTAAAATTATTTTCCGTACTAATAAATGAAATGATGGCTGTTCTGTACTGTGTGTTCTTTTGAAATTTTAATAAATATACATCCCCATCCAGCAAAAGATAACAAGCACACAGGACACAAAAAGGTTGGAGATTATTACAAGTGCGCAATCAAAGAGCAATCCATTGCATAAGAACTATCCAACATTTAACTACATTGCATCAAAAGGCTTTGATATAGTGAGCAACAAATAGAACTTAAATGGCAATAATCTAGCAAAAGCGAAATTAAAGCTTCTGAAAGTACAACATGTATCTTTGTTCCCCACTTGAAAGCGCAAGAAAAAAAAGTGGATCATTATATATGCAATTATTGCACATAGTGAAACGAGGCATTGTCTAGGGGGAAGGACATGACTTTTGTCCTCTGTCAACTTATCAATATTGAACATCATGCACTATTAGCAGTAGTTAAAACATGGACATTTTACAGTCCTATTACATGCATTACAAGTACCGAATTCCGCCCTTAGAACACAAATGTCCTCATTTTAGGATAGCAGACAAAGCAATAAACATCATTCCTCCTGAAATGATGGCTTATATCAGCATTTGTCACTGGTTTCTTCTGTCATGACACACCCTTTTAAAAGCTTGCAAAATCTTGAGGCACCCCATTCTAAAATGTAAATGTTACTTATCAATGGGAAACATGAGCCTGGGACAATGCACACAACCGTCTTCATGGAATTAACTTCACATCAGAAGCCCTCCCTTCATTTCAGAGGTTCTCCCATCGCAACAGATGTTCTCTTAGCATGTCAGAGTCTCCCCTTCACATCAGAGTCCCCCAAACACACAATCCCCCATCACAAAGATCTCCCAATCATACAGTTCCCTCCATATCAGAGCCCTACCTTTTGCCTCCAGCAGCATCGCAGAGGGCAAGAGGTGGAGAAAGTCTGGCGGAGATGGACTTCGTTCTTTCCTGAATACTAGGGGCTGCCCTGCATGCTACCTGCACAGGATCAGAGTCATGCTTTGCCATGGTGTGTGCAAGCCGTCTACCATCGCCATAGCAATAAATGACACTGTTCTTTCTGGCCCTAGAGGATCTTTGGTTGTTAAAGTGCTGTTCCACCTGCAGTATGGCAAACCAAACTCAGAAACTGATCCAGGGCAATTTGGGTCCTGTGCTGTTACTATGGGGGAACCCACACAGCACCTGGGTTGAGAAACAGTGGCTTATAGAACAGATAGCACAGAAAAAACCTACATTTACATGTGCCTGTTTTTTATTGACATTTACAAAGCATATGTAGAGCTACCCACACAAGGGTCCACTTGATAATGCTTGTTCCCAGTGGTTGCCCTGACCTCCCGACACTTCTGACACTCTGGGTTCAGACATACAGTACTTCAACAGTATGAAATAATAATGCAAGAGACACGATTCTTTAATAACATTAGGTTTACAAGGTACATCCCCAGTTACTGCATAAAAGCAAAACACTGATTAAATAGACCAAAAAAAAACAAATTGCAACGGTTAACAAATTATATGGTCACAAATGGTAGGTTGTAACTATGTAACTGCAACACCAGCAGAAGGAAGGGGGAGATAATTCTTGTTGAGCTTCGTCTGGGTGTCGCAATAGGGAATGCAAATGTAAATATAAATATATATATATTTATATTCTGGCATAAATGGGTATAGACACCCTAATTTGAATAGCAACGGCTTAGATATGCAAAGATCCTTTTAATGAGAAATAGCAACTTGAGTCCTGAGATGTTTAAAGATCCTGATGTGATGGTAGCTGCTGTCTTCTGCTAGCATTGGTGGAGCCCATATACAGTAGTGAGTAATGGTAATGCAATGAAGATAACAGTCTGTGGTAAAAAGCGCTACTCAGGTGTAAAGGTGTCTGCATGCAGTGTTCCTAGAGTGTTGACAGATAGATGTTGAGCATCCTCCCGCTCACCATAGATAGCATGGCCTCATAGAAGCAGGGTTCTTGCACAGATGCATGGCTTTTTGCAGAGAAGTGCAGATTTACTGCCTGCCAGTCTGTCAGTGCAGCGGGCAGAGATGACTGTCTGAAGACTGGATAGTGACAGTCCCGATGCAGAGAAGCTGATGTGATCCCAGTGTGGTGATCGGCGTCACCGCTGAACTGGTATGCAGAGTCTGGCAGTAAACCAGCAATCTGTCTCTGGAGGACAGCGGCAGTCCCCCTGTGTTCAGCTCTGAATCCGGCACCAAGAGAGCAAGCCAGCTCCTTGCTGTAGAATATATCTGCTCTTCCAACAACCTTCTGTTTCCCCAGCTCTCTGGTAGTTGTAGTTCAATCAGCACTCAGAAATACAGAATGTATTGGCTATAGCACTACAGGTCCCATGATCCTCTGCTGTCAGAAGAACTGGATCCACTTTTTCTAACAGGGAGTGATGTAGCAGTCCCAGTACTGGGCACTAGAGGGAAAAAGATGTAATCATAGTCTCATCTGTAAATGTCCCTGAATGGCATGATGTAGACAGTACCTGGCTACAAACAACAAAGAATTCTAGCCATTAGGCAGAATAAGAAGGTACCAATACCACACAATACCACAGCTGAGCTTTCTCATACGTTTACAAAGTAAAAACTGGAACAGTAAAGGGATGTACTGCACACAGAGTGGATTTATATCCTTTCAGTTCAACTTTGAATTCTATGTCCCATATATGTTATGGAAGGCAAATTTAGAATACTAATCTCAAAATACGTTTTTACAAAATGTTGAGAGTGATCTGGTCTCTGTCTGGGAGATGGTTGTTATTGAATTTAATTTGCATTACTATTATGCCTACATTGGGTAAACTTTTGGTATAGAATTAGTAAGAAATTGACTGTCTGTGCTGGAGAGAGTGCAGTGTAGATACTGCTGCTTGAGGTAAGAGGAGTGTATAACTGGAGCATAACACTGGGGGTATAGATACCAAATGATGGGATTGAAAGGGATGTAAATACTCCTGTTGCTGAATGAGTGCTGGGGGACAGAGCATCCTCTATTCTTTTACACATTGCTAATTCTCATTAAAGTGACACTAAATAATGTCTAAAAATAATCCATACACATACTACAGGAGATGACCAGAGACTGTGGATATACTACAGGAGATGACCAGAGACTGCAGATGTACTACAGGAGATGAGCAGAGACTGTGGACATAGTACAGGAGATGACAAGAGACTGCAGACAGTACAGGAGATGACCAGAGACTGCGGACACAGTACAGGAGATGACCAGAGACTGCGGACACAGTACAGGAGATTACCGGAGACTGCAGACACAGTACAGGAGATGACCAGAGACTGTGGACATAGTACAGGAGATGACCAGAGACTGCGGACACAGTACAGGAGATTACCGGAGACTGCGGACATAGTACAGGAGATGACCAGAGACTACGGACACAGTACAGGAGATTACCGGGAGACTGCAGGCACAGTACAGGAAATGACCAGTGACTGCAGACATAGTACAGGAAATGACCAGAGACTGCATACCTCCCTCCTCGTAGTCTTTTGGGACACGTGACAGGTCCCAAAAGACTATGGGGCCATTCACAAAGTGCTGTGCTTCTCACGCATGTGCAGTGGGCACCCGGCTGTGAAGCCGCAAACTGTCATAGCCGGGTGCCCACATTAAAGATGCCAGCACCAGGAACAGAAGACGGCCGGTGAAACTGGCCATGGTGAGGACACCTCTGGACCGAGGAACAGGTAAGTGGCTGTATTTTAAAGTATTTTTTTAAGCTGGAACTCCGCTTTAAGGGGCAGCTGCTTTGGGCCCTGCTTGGTGCTGCCACAGAAGAGCTGAGCGGCCAGAATGGTATTCTAACACGGCAGCGGCGACAGGGGGAATACCGAGCTGGCCCCTCCATATTGGCTCCATAAGACGCACAGACATTTCCCGCCATTTTTTTGGGGGAAAAAAAGTGCATCTTATGGAGCGAAAAATACTGTAATCTATTTTTCATTAAGTCAATTCTTACTGTGTTTTTTCTGCCTTCTTGTAATATACCTCTCCTTTTCCCCTCACATCTGTTTGTTTGAACCAAGCGTGCATGTTAATTGCAGTCATGTACACTGCACTATGCATACTACAAATTCCATAAGCCATAGTCCATCTCGGGAACGAGCAAGATTAGGTAGCTACATTCCTACATACAGTGGGATCATAGAGAACAAATGCAGCCATGCTCTAACAGAAAGTTGGATCACAGCAGCAAAAAAGTAAAAAAAAACGTACATTTGGAGGAGGCTGAGAGCACTTTTTCCAGTTATGAATAAGTACTTAAATAGCATTTTTTAAACTAGAGTTTAGCATCACTTTAAGAACTCCCATAGGGTACTTGCACACAGTACTGATGTTTGAACATCAGTATTCCTGGCCAAAGCTTCTTGTGTTTATTTTGCGTGTATGTGTGTGTATTTGAGCATATCTGGCTGCATTTAAATGAGTAGAAAAGCACCTGTATACCTAAAGCATATATTATATTGTCCACTTCTGTGAAATCTATTCATCATATGTGCAATGCTTCATTCCTAGAAACCTCTGAAAACCTGAGTGTAGGGTTTATAAAAAAAAAAAAAACAATGCAAAATGTGCATTAGAAGTGTAAGCACATCATGACAAACACACAAAGAAAACACAAACACTAAACAATGCGCTTGTCAGTACATAAAACAAGAACAATTAAGTAGCAGCACGTGTAGGTTTCATGTCCTCCTCCTATAAGGTACATACTGTACCCTCACCGTATCCCATACCTAACACCACTTATCTACTCAACACATGAAGTCATTGATAAACTATTTCCTACTCTCTGGTCTCAGAGTATCTGGCTCAGGATATTGTTCGGTTACTGCTTCAGGACTTAAGAATAGAATGAAATTGCACAATGGTAAAATCTTGTTCAACAGCAGAATTCCTATCATTTCAAAACACAGTCATCTCCTCTGTGACCGCAAATAGTCTGTCTTGCTGATTTTCATTCACACAAGTCAGGAATTCAAGAGTTCCATTAAGTCTAATGCTGCATATTTCAGCACTTAGTAAAATAGTCAGCGAAAGCTGGATCGACGAACAGGTATGATTTCTCAGACATGGAAATAGAAAATTTCACTATTGTGCAACATGTTACCCAAAACATTTGTAAACAGAAAAGCTATAATCTGTCAAAATGGGTGCAATTAAAGTGGTATTAACCCCAAAATAAAAATGTAATATATGGCAGCTTACCAATTCTTAAATGTGGTGGCTACATTGGTTTAATTTTCCCTTTATCTTCACCTAGTGATCCAGCCAGTAACATGCTTTGTCTTAAGCCGGCCATACACTTATTAAAATTTGGTCCATTCAACAAGGACTTGACAAATTTCGATCAGTGTGTGGCTGTCCCCACAAAAGTTGATAATTTGATCATCTTCCAATGAAGAGATATGTAAGCAGATGCTTCCAAAAGGTTCTGTGTGTTAAACGTTTTTTTCTGTTGTGTTACATGCTCGGTGTTTGGTTATTTCAACTGTATTCATGTGCCAAAGCCATTTGTTACAATGTAGATTTATTGCAGTGTCCTCGGTTGATTTCTGAGCTGGTGGATCCTAAAAAGGAAGGGTTAATGCTACTGGCTAGGATTTCAGCTCCTTTCTGGAATGTTACCTGCTCCCTACAGGTCATGCCATATAAATAAGGGCTTATTAGTGCCCTGAGAGGCCGGTTAGGGGAAGCACAGCCGATTCGGGGTAGCCCAGCTGGGGTTCACAATGGGGTCTGGAGCTGGTGGATCTATATGTACCTGTTTCTGGACCCTTTCTATGGATTATTACTACCTCATGTGGATTTATTGCCAGCCATCGACTTTTGCATTGCAAAGGACTCTTAATGGACTTATTACTGCCTAACTCAGGTATGGCTACCTCATAGGACACTACTTAGGGGTAGTGTTCCATGATGTAGCACCCTCCTAAAGTAGAGTAGGCACCTGGACAAATTTAGTTAGCTCCACTTTAATCAGAGGAGCAGGGGTTGATTACTTAGGGCTGCTCAGTGTTTCACAGGTTGCTCTTGTATTACTTCCCCCTGTTTTCAAGAGAATTCTAGAATACAGTGGGAGGAAGGGCAGAGTCTGCAGCCTGAATATTTATGGGACTCCAACCAATCTCTGGGGAGGTTGCCCAGACGGTGGTAAGAGCCCATAAATAGTCTGAGGCCTGAGCAGGTGGAGCAGTGTTCCTGAGCCCAGTTCTGCAGAAGGAGACACCTATGCAGGGGCTCTGAGAGGAAGCTAGACAGAAGACACCAAAGTCCCAGCTAGGAGTAGCTGGGGGGCCTATTTTTGCAAGTCCAGGTCCAATGATCAAGTTGGGTCAGGAGAAGCTTGCGGTAGAGAGCAAGGATGAAGTTTTGGGAGGGAGCCCAAGCTGTCTTATGGTGGTGTGAGTCTACATCATCTCCCTCACTAAGAAAAGCCTGGGGGATATCCGCAGGAAGCAACCAATGATCCCGTGGCTAAGTGGGTACAATACCCTAGCCCTGAAGAGTTGTGACAGCGGGGTTTATTTACTAAAGCTGGAGAGTGCAAAATCAGGCTCACTTCTGCATAGAAACCAATCAGTTTCCACATTTTATTGCCAAAGCCTAAAGTGTTACTAAACCCAGGACCCTGCATTCACTATACCTGGTCTCGCACAGTACACAGAACATAGAAATGCAATTATTTTAGTAAATATAAACTGCTAAATACCTTTACTCATTAGTAGTATATAGCAGTCTTGTGACTTCTATCAGTGTCTAGCCGAGCACATGTTAAAGCTTGTAGGAGGAGTTTTCATTCTGCTCTAGGAGGATGCAGTACCCATAACCTCTGTCTGGATAGTGCTGATTGGCCCTGTACTAATCACATGCACTCTCCCAAGAAAAAAAAATATCTCTAGCAATACACACCAAACAGAGCATGTGCAGAGTGTCTCCACATGATATGTCTTATCAGGAGATAAGAGAGGGACACTGAAAGAAGGGCAAGATCAGAGAGGTTAGGATCAAACAGCCTTTTTACACAATGCAGAGGATTAACCCCTTAGATTCCACAGTGAGTATAACAAGCATGCTTTACTGCATATACAGACTGATTTTATTATTGTGGGTTTAGTAACAATTTAATTGAACAAGCTGAGTTTAGAAGCTGATTGGTTTCTATGCAGAAGTGAGCCTGATTTTGCACTCTCTGGCTTTAGTAATTAAACCCCAGTGTGTAACGTTTCTGGAAGGAGTACAGGTCACAGTCAGCCTAAAGATCAAATGGGACATATCTCTGTGTAGTGCAGCCAGAAGTATATACAGTGCAGCCAGGAACTTGTGCAGTGCAGCCAGAAGTGAAGAAGTCCTTAAGTTGTACAGTTTCAGGGTATCCCGTTTTCCCTACCTCTATCCAAGCTCATGGTTCCCAATGAAAACCCAAAAAGAAACCCCTAAACTGTTCTTTGGAACCATTGGAAGAATGCAGAAAATGCTATGTGCCTGGCTGTGTGTGTATAGGGTACAGTTCAGGCACATATTTGCACAGGGTCTTGAAAGATGTTAGGTAGTCAGGAAACTGGCTATCGCATTTTCAGAGACCCTATAATCTGTTTAAATTCAAGTTAAAAAAAGTAAAAAAAACATAAAAAAATAAAAAGTGCAAGTACAAAAAAATGTTTTAAATTTAAAAAAAAAAAATAGTTGTAGTTTTTGTTGTTGTCGAGTTACTGTTATACTGTTACACTTTTACTGTTTTATTGCTACTGTTTTATTGTTAACCATTGTTGTTATCTTTGCAGGAATGCCATTCAGCTGCAGCACCGACCTGTTTATTCTGACAGCAACAGGAACTTGCTATCAGAATATACACAAGTCAGTTTGTGCAGCGCTGTTGGATGAGATTTTTCATCCGCAGTTAAAAAAGAGCATACATGCCAAAGCGTGGGGGCCTGGGGTGGCCAGTGGGTGGATGGCCCTATGCTTCAGCATATATATTTTATAATATTTTTGGCACATATTTCAATAAAAAATTTGTTTTATTGAGTTACTGTTTTATTGTTACTGTTTTATTGTTAACCATTGCTGTTTTCTTTCCAGGAATGCTTTCAGCTGCAGCACCGACCCGTTTATTCTGAGAGAAACAGGGTCTTTCTCTCATGATATACATAAGTCAGTGTGGGCAGCGCTGTTGGATGATATTTTTCATCCGCAATTAAAAAAAAGCATATATGCCAAGGCATGGGGGTCTAGGGTGGCCAGTGTGTAGATGGTCCCTGTGATTTAGTATATTTTAAAAACATTTTTATTGGCAGAGATTTCTTCATCCACGTCTACCAATGTGAATAGAGGAATCTGTTAGGTTCTTTTTTTTTTGTTCAGCCCGTGGGCTTAACGACAAAAAAAAGAACATTTCATGTGTGCCCACCATTAGAAGTGGGTGGATGCATGGCGGTATATTCTAATGGTGGCCATACCACACACTTTTTCTGGCAGAGATTTCTTCTCTTTTTTTTATTCAGCCCACAGGCTGCATAGAAAAAAAGAACATAGCATATATACCCAACAAGGACCAGCAACGTATTGGTATATCTCTGGACTTTGAGTGGTTATACCAGGATGATGCCTGCAGCTGCAGGGTCATCCTGGTAGTGCTTT